CTGTGAGTTGTCACCCAGCAAGGCGATATCATCGGCATATTCCAAGTCAAGAACTCTGTTCCCTGGGCTATATGGCTTATCCTACCAGGGTCCAGAATTCGCGGATCTGATGCGCCACAGGCATTAGTGGTTCGAGAGTTCGTCGTGCAGGCAACACAAGCTTGTTGCCCAACCTGCATGAGGGTCCTCATGTTGAAGGTCTCCAAGTTCAGTGGGTGACCGGGCTTCAGAACCTTCAGGTCATTGGCTACTGCTTCACATACAATGCTTTAAACTCGGTTTTCATTTTATTTCTTCATGACTGTTTAACGATACGGTCATAACAATATCTTTGTGTCGATAGTGTGCCAGTGTTATTTATTGTTCAAACTCCATCCATTGTTCTGATACTTCATCTCACTCTCTCCGCAGCATGCAAACCATACTCCTGGAACCGGTTCGAATACTACTAACTCGAATCCAGGACGCTATGCTGACGGAATGGGTTTGCCTGCTGCTTTGGCTGGAGCTCCGCGGGGAACTCAGTGCTCCAAAACTGCAGCGGTTATAAGACTCGCTCGTATTCTCTGTCCCAATCTTGTCCGCCCCCTCCGCTTGGCTCGTCGTCCGGGTAGACATGCAAGCACAACGGCCTTATTGGCCAGTACCGCCACAACAGCCGTTGGGAATAAGGAACCTGGTTCCGCGGACCAAACGGTTTCCCTCGAAGCGCTGTGCGCTGCTGGTAAGTTCGTATTTCATTAACTTTGGGCTGCAAGAGATCTCTCTCCTCTCACTATTCACACTTGGAGAAATATAAGCTGATTTCAAAGTTAAGATCAGTCAGTGCAAGATGATTCAAGTTGCGGGTATCGCAACCCTTAGTCTGGTGGATCCCAATCAACTTTCATATATGATTCCAGGGTTCAATCAGCAATTTGAACGAGCTTCGAGGCTAGTTGTACGTGAATGTATTTTCCATTTTGTAAAAATCGTGCATTTTGTTCGATATCCTTAACAATCACTTACAGTATTGTTGCTTTTTTAAGCTGATCACTAATGCACCTTAGAAGCGTGTGTATTTGGAGGTCGATCACTTGCTCTAGTGGACGACTGCAATTACCTAAAACTCCCAACGCCTAACCTCAGCATTGCTAGTCCGGTTACCCCACCAGACGCGTGCAATGCTACGTAGACAGCGGTGTTCGAACACCGACAATCTATTTTTATCCTGTTCCCTTAGTGGCCAAGTCTCTGCGCCGTAGAGCAGGACCTCGCCGAACTGCTGCAGCATGCAGTCGACCCTTCACAGACAGACGGATGTCACGACGGCGCCACAAATGTCTCAAGTTGGCGAATGCCAACCGAGCCTTTTGTATGCGAGCTGACTCTTCATCAATGATGCGTCCACCGGATGAGATGTAGCTACCCAGATAGCAAAATTTGTCTACTTCCTCTACTACTTCTCCAGTTAGGTGAGGCTCGGTACTGGATCACCCCAGTCTTGTAGTAAAATTTTACACTTTGAAGGTGCAAAACGCAAGCCGAACATGG